TGTGTAATACTGTGTAGTACCTGTGAGTAGTATTGTGCAGTACTGTGTAATACTGTGTAGTACCTGTGAGTACAGACTCCCGCACTGCGAGCAGCTCCATTGCAGTTGCAGAAACAGGATACACACCACATGACCTTTGACCTGACCCACAATGCACCTGTGCTCATCAGTCCCAGCCCACTGCCCCAGGTACATCCTGGGAGCCAGAGGGGGCGGGGCACATCTGTAAACACAACCCAACAACAACAACAACAACAACAACAACAACAACAACAACAACAACAACAACAACAGGTAAATAAAATCAGGTGAGGTCAGAGAGCAGAGGTTCTTGTTTGATCCTCAGGTGAAGGTTCTGCTGGTACCTGGAGTCTCCCAGTGATGTCACAGTTATGGAGCTGACAGGTGAGTACGAGCAGTACACACCTCCAGACCTGAAACACACACACACACACAGGTATATACGGTCAGCTGCATGAGCACAGGTAAACTGCACATACCTGGAAGCATCTCCGTCACCTGGACAGCTTCCTCTGGAAACCTGACAGCAGCACAGTGTTTCCAGGTAACAGGCCAGGTATGTAGGGGGTGTGGCTTAGGTCCAGGTACAGTCGAAGACTCCGCCCAGTTTGGTCACACAGTGTAAGACGAACACCTGAACACACACACATAATAATTGCTACTTTTAGAAAGTTATTCTAGTCGTGTGTGAATGTTTGGACCTGATTACCTGTTTACCTGTGTAATGGTGATTTACCTGTGCAGGTGAGTTTTACCTGTGTGGGCGTGTACAGCCTCTGTGGTCCTGTTGCTCACACTGATCCTCTCAGAAATCAGACCCTGAAAACACACCAGCTCAGAGCTGAAACACACAGCTCAGTCAGATACTGATGGGTGCAGGTGTTCATAAACAGGTGCAGATCCTCAGACGGGTCCTGTTTACCTGCAGTCCAGCACCTGAGAGACAGACAGGACAGCAGGGGACACAACCTGAGGACACACAGAAAGATCATGCTTTGGTTACTGCAGAGTGGAAAGTAAAGCAAAGCCAAAGCTTCTGGAGCAGATAAGGAAGCTTTTCCAAAGACAAATCACATGTTACCTGTCTGCAGGTGGGCAGCAGCAGGGGGCGTGTCAGAGTGTGGAACCTCCAATCAGATCTGACCAGAAGAGTGGAGTTAGTGTGACGCTCAACCCCACTCCGTACAGAGACTCCACAGCCAATCAGAACGCTCGGATCCTGTTGGAAGCAGAGCAGGTTTATAAACAACCATCAACCAGCAGAGTACTCAAAGCCCCGCCCACCTCTGACATCATCACAGGTGTTTTACCTGAGTGTTGGCAGCAATGAGTCTGTAGAAACATCCAGGCTGGAGGACAGGAAACCACCGATTAGACACACCTGAAAACACCAGGAGCACCTGCACACAGGTAAACACCAGGTAAACAACGGGAAAGCATCAGGTAAACATCACATAAACAACTGGTAAACAACAGGTGAATGTCAAGTAAACAAGTCCAGCAAACAGCATTTATCACATGATAACCATGTGATCTTTCAGGCGTACTCCTCACCTTCTCCTCCCTCTCTAACTCCACCTCGTTGTCCGTCACCGGTTTGTTCTTTGGGTCCCGCCCCCAGCAGACTACTGGACCAATCACAGCAGCTCTGACTGAGAAGCACAGCTGAAGCCCCGCCTCTTCATCTGTTATAACCTCCCCTGTGTTCCTCCAGGCCACATCCTCCTTCTGCTCCATCCTGATCACTATGGAGACGCAGGGCAGGGAGTCCCCGCCCACAGGCCCTGTTGTTATGGTAACAGAGGAAGAATCCTCGTGTTTTCTTCTTTTCCTAACTGCGTCTTCTTCTTCTACTGTCTGCTTCCTCACGTTGACTCCGCCTTCTGGATCCTCCCTCCTCTGTCTCAGGTGTGTAACCATGGCAACAGATGGGCTCAGGACATGGAGGTGATCCAGAGAAAACTGCAGGTAAACTCTGTCACACACACAAACGCACAAACACACGGTCATGTGATGTGTTTAAACCCACACGTGTGGTTTAGATTTCGGGGTTCGTTCCTTGAAGGACTCTGTGTGTGTGTGTGTGTGTGTGTGTGTGTGTGTGTGTGTGTGTGTGT